TTCATAGTTCCCTGTTGTTCTGGAATTTCGATCAGTTGTTATTTTTTTTCCCCCACATATTGTATCATGTTTAGCCAACTCAAGCCTTGTTGGCAGTTTCCAAAACTACAAAGTGACAGTCGACTTGCAGAGTAGAGAATGTGTGGGGTCCATACTGAGCACCCATATGCTGTACCTTCTGCCTTGGGAGAGCTGTGTGGCCACCAGAGATTATACCAGAGAGGACTTCAAAAAAAAACATGTCATAACAACACAACACTGCTAATCACCTGGACCCTTCCAAAACACACAATTAAGAATTCAGTGTGATCTTTCTTTCTCCCTGAAAACAAATATTTTATGTGCTTTACCCCACTGTTATGGTTTTAACTGAAATTAAATTATAGTCTTTGCTGAAATTGTTTCTGCTAAAGAAAGTTTTAAAATGGAGGTTGGGAAAATCTCTCCTGTGCACAACTGAGATGTCAAGTCCAACATCTTTTCATGCATTTGGGCTCAAAAGATGTTGATGTGATATCTCCAAATGTTTCTCAGTTTTCCTAAAACACAGCAAATGGTAAGAAATGAACACCATGTGTGTGGTGTTTGAGACGTCAACCTGGAGCCCCCAGTCTCTACATTTTCCTAAGGATTTGAGTTCTTTTCAGGAACCAATTTAAAATAACTCATAATTCAGTTGAAAGACAATGTAGGGCTTTCAGGTGTAGATGCCCCAATTTCCAGTATTTTATTGCTGCTTTCAGTGAGTTTGAGGTGACAGTTTTCCTTTCATGGAGCAAGCTTACAATTAGAAAAATCAAATACCCCTTCAAGAAAGCAGATTTACTCTCCTTTTAATTGATACAGCACTGTAAAGCCTCCGTCACTCAGGCGGGAGCCCAGCACATCCCTTGCAGACATTTTCAGGGGCCAGAGCCTGGGTTAGCAGCAGCCTGGACGGTCTAAGCCAGAGGTGTCTGTGTTTAAGAGCAGAAGCTTGGCTTTTCCGTGGTAGGGATATGCTGTGCTGGGGAGCTGTCTCTGTAACATCTGCACACAAATCTTAGGGAGGGGGTTACTCTCTTCCCACTTTGTTTCATTTTTTAAAAAGTGAATAACCTTGAAAGTTGAACTCCTCACTCTGTTTTCAGAATTCTCTCTGCTCTGCTGGATAGAAGGTAAAGCAGCATACCTGTTTAGTAACCAGGAAGGAATTCTTAAAGGGAATGGGGACCCTGCGGCTGCTGTGGATTAAATGCAGAGAGAAGGAGCACTGAGGACCAACCGCAGAATTGTCCTTCTACAGGGGGCAAGCAACACCGGTGGGGGTGGGGAGGGCCAGCGGGGTGAGAATAGGTTGAAATATGACCCGTGGTTTTAACTTTAAATAAGCATTTCCGTTCTGATAGAAGCCCCCTCTAATGTCTCCCGCAGCTTTGATTTTGGAACACGTCACATTCCTCATTAAAGCAATCACTGTTAAAACATAAAGCAACACAGGATTTATTTCTTCATTAAACTGATGATCCGTATATGAAGCCAATTAACATTATGAGTCTGGTGAACATCAAGTGTAAAGAGGTTAGAGAAAATTAAAAGCAGTCACCTTGGTCTTTAGATAAAGAAAGTACACTTTTAGGTTGTAAATTATCAGAGTGTCCAAGCGGGACAGATCGGGGAATTTGGTTAATTGGAAAATACATTTTACCGCATAAGAATTAAGAAGAAATAACCTTTTCGTTACTAACGTCCTTTTTAGAGGGGAGGTGAAAAGCAGGGAATGCGTATTAGTCACCTTCTCCTGGCCCCGAGTGTCAGAGACAATCAGAGGGAAAACATGGGGCTGGCGTCATCAAAGTTTGCTGTAGCCTTTCATTCGTACGGTTGTTTGCTTGTTTGTTTATTCTCGGTTTTGCCGACAAGAACAAGCCGGCCGTGCGGCTCGGCGACAGGGACGTCGGCCAAGGCGAGGCCGAGGGTCCTGAGCTAGCTCCGAGCTCAGCGCGAGGTGGGTGTCTTCCGGGAGACCGGCTGGTTATCCCGCTCGGGGGACTGCCAGGCTTGGGTCGGGGGTTCTAGGAAGGCCGGTATAAGGCGGTAACCGGCCGCGGGGCAGGAGCCGCGCGCGGGGCTGCGGAGTCGAGAGTCCGGTGCCTGCTGAAAGCGCTGAGCGAGCGTCCCAAGTAACTTTCGCAGGTTTGGGCCAGGAGAGTATTGGGGTCAGTTTCCCAAAGCCCGGAGCCGGCTGGACGTGTCCCGCCGCCAAGCAGCGTAGGGTCCCACAGGGGCCCTGGGGACCCGGTCCTTTTCCCTGCATAGCCTGGAAGGAAGTGGTGCTGCTGTCCAGGGTTCTGACCGGAGTGGAGGCGCGGCAAGCGCGCTGCCAAGCCAACTAAGGATGAACCTGTCTTGTCCCGGAGAGGTCTCTAGGGCTCAATAGGAATGTGCTTCTGCGGATGTCAGGGATTGGGAACTCAGACTGGGGCTTTGACCTCGTTGGTTGTGGGGGCCAATGCGGCGCCAGGCGCCAGGTGCTGCGGATCCCGCACGGATACCCAGGTGTGTCTGAAGAATCTTGGGCGAGCCTTTTTCACCTCGTTTCACAGGCACCCGGCTCCCGGAGCGAGCAGGGAGCTCAGCGGGGAGATGCCGCCTAGGGCAGGAGGGAACCTGAGGGGTTTTTTGCTAGACCAAGGCGGGCAAGGGGAGCCTCCGGCTCTTGAAAAGGGTCCTAGAGAGCAGGGGTGCTTTGAGGGACACAGGGAGAGAGCGAGCGCGCTTCCAGTCTCTTGGCCTGGACTGAGAGAGTGTTGGCTACCGGGGGCTCCAGCTCTCTGGCTGAGGTGGAAACGGCACTTGCAGCTGCCCAGCCGGCCGCATATGCTACTGCTCCAGTCTCCCAGACTTGCTGGCGTGCTTCCCCGGGCCGCCGCCTGGTCTCGGGGAGTCTGTGGTCCTGGTAGAACTGGCGCCGCGGGCTCTGTCCGCTTTGAACGGAGCCGGAGTTTCCAGCGGTTTCTTCCGAGAGGCGGGGTCGATTTTCTGCGCCAGGGAGAGCTAAGACTAGGAAGGGCCGCCTTAGCGCACCGAGTCCAGACTTGCCTCCAGCTGAGAGGTGCCGCGTCTTCCTCCAGGCAGTTTTCGGAGGTGTGTCCACGGTCGGGCCTGCACCCAAACCCTCTACCCTCCAGCTCAATGCGCCTCTCTGAGGTCCTCTGTCCCCATGTGGGCCCACCAGGCCTTTTGTTTCCAACGCGCTGTGGCTTTAAGATCAAGGCTGGATCCCAAGCAGTGAAGGGACCCGACCCACCACTTCTCCAGGGCTCCCGAACGCAGCATTAGAATGTTTATAAAATATTCAATTTATGCAGGCTGTCCAAGAAGCCATTGTCCCAAAATAAAATCAGCAGTCTAGACCGAACACAGACACCAGAACTTATCAACAGTTGTCTGACTTGCATCTTCTGATGCATCTTGAGTGGGTCATAATACCAACTTTATTTTCAGTGGTGCATAAATTAATTACACGCATTTAATAACCAAAATATCATTATATTCCCCCTTTAATATCATAAAGGCTTTCCGCCAGGGAAGCACTTAATAGTGCAGGGGGCCGTAACGGGCTATTATCCTGGTGTAATGCTATTACAGAACCAATTATGCGCCATTAGACTTGCTTTTTTTGCAGTTTATGTGATTTGATCCAATCCCGCGCCCCTGACTTGAAAATTTCAGCCCGGCACTTTAGAGTTTAATTTTCACCCAGGCAGAGGGAAGGGCGGTTTCTCTTCGATGAGTGCCTGCCTCGGATGCATTTTAAAAGTAATTGCGAAGGGTCCCACCGCATATCATTTGCATCGAGAAGCGAACATAAATTCAGGGACCCCTTGCTGAGAACAAAATCAAACTTTCCTTTTGTACGGTCGCTTGGAACGGGAAGCCGTGTGCAAAGAGTCCCTCCAAAACCCATCCGGCGGCTACAATTAGCAGCGCTTTGTCAGTCCGCAGCCCGGGAGTCCCCAGGCCTTTGACAAGGGCGAGCCCAGATCCAAGCTCTTACGGAGAAAGGTTTGAGTCCGAAGGGATTTGGGATGGGGGTGGGGTGGAATGTTCAGAAAATAACGCCTTTTTTTGGGAGGGGTGGTAGTAGTGGTGGTTGTTTCTATCCTCTTTTCGAAGAAAAGAGTATAAACATTCCTGATGTTTGCTGAGAAATGACGAATTTTTTTTTAACACCACGTGGGCCATTTGTAAGGCCCAATAGACCTATCCAAGTTACTCGCTGTAGACAGCGCTGGAAATAATCAGATTAAGGCCAATTATGCGTGAGATTATAAAGGCGAGTGCTGAGCGGCGGCGCGCGCTGTAGACAGACAGCAAGACATCTGGCCACTTCCCGAGTCACTTTTCTGGTCCTGCGGGCGCCAGCAGCGAGAAGCCCCGCCCGCCTCCAGCGGAGCCCGGCGTGCGGACCCGAAGCGGTCACGCTCCAGCCTTCATCGCCAGCCGGCCGCCGAGGTACGCGCGGCTCCCGACCCACTCACCGGGCCCAGCGCACGGGGCCTTGGGGCTCGGCTGCCGCCTTGGCCAGAACTGGCGCTCGCGCAGATGGCCTGGCGCACTCGGCGGCCCCGGCTTCGGTGTCCTGGGTGCAGGGTTTGCGGCGCAGACCCCTGAGATCGGGAGCCACACTGCGCGGGTTTGGTGTTGAGGCCAAGGTGGGCACCGCTGTCGGGGAGGAGGGTCTGAACGGAAGGGTTGTTTCGCTGGGGAGCCTGTTTGAGACGGAGTTGACACCGCCCGCCACCCCGCCCCAGTTCCCACAGTGGGTGAGAGCGTTGGGAGGGGGTTTTCCACGAGGGGAGCGCCTAGTGAACTCTAAGTACGCGGCCGGGGCACAGGCGGAAGGAAACTTAGACTATCGCTGTTTGCTTTGCAGCCAGGCCTGAGCTACGCGCGTCTTGTCGGTCCCGCGGCCACCCTCCAGAGTCCCGGCAGTACAGCGGATACGGCCGTCTGCGATGTTTTATTTCCACTGTCCGCCACAGCTAGAGGGTGAGTAAGCGGCGTGCCCGTGGGCAGCTCCAAAAGGCTGGCCCCGGCCAGAAACAGCCTGAGCAGCAGCGGGATGGTGGGGTTCCAGCCCCTGGCCTCCTCCACAAATCCCGCTCCAGCCTCCAGTCCGGTTGCCACCTGCCTCCCACATGCCTCCCTGCCCCCAGCCCCCCCAGGGCTATGAGCGCCGCAGGGGCCGGCCGGGTCCTCCCTGCACAGATGCTGGTGTCACGCCTCTAATCGGGACTCCCCCATCCAGGGGGCCGCATCAATCTTTTACGGTGTTTTGCAAACATCTCGAAAAGCCAAAGTTGTCTAGGGAGTTGGCCTGCATAGTCCTGGGCCATGCGGCAGATAGGACCCATTGCCAGGATGCCCTCACTCCAGGCGCAGGTCAGTACTGCTGCTGGGTCCTTAAGTCCACCCAGGCTCCGAAGCCCTCTGGAGCCAGGTGGCCCTGCCTATCACTTCCTGAAGTGCGCTGGCATGGCTTCTTTGTGATTCACTGGGTTTCTTGACCCCAAACGCCAACCACTCCTCACTCCCAGGGGCAGCCCATGGCCAGGGTTTGGGTCTTTGAGGGTCTCCAAGCCTTAGAAGAAATTTTGCCTCAGGGTCCTTGGTGTAATCTCTGCACTGGATTGTTACATAGGGTGGGCTGGTTGAGGAAGGGACAGCTTGGATCTCTGGTGCCCCAACTCAGGGCCTTAGGGATCCCTAGGGGTGGGACTTCTGCACCTGTGGGCAGGGGTGGAGCCCTAGAATGAACCAGGCAAATACAGAGCTACACTTGTACTATGGCCTTTTAACAGCTGTTGTCCTCAGACCAGTGTTCTCAGACAGGGGATATTAGAATGTTCATAACTGGGAGCAGTACAAGGACTTGGCTTGGGCAACCTACTCTTTTGATTTATTTGTGTGGTAGGGGAATTTTTGGAAGCCAAGAAATGAGAGAGGCATAGGGGAGGGCAAAAGGTGATGAGACACCAAGGTACCTGAGCTATCAGAGGATTCTGTCCACGCTGGCCTGGGTTACCTTGAACAGTAGATGAGCATCAGCTGGCCAACACGCACAGGGGTTTCAGAACGTTTGTTTTTGTTTCTCCTATGGAAGCTTTTAAGAGTTCAGTAGGATTTTCAGTGTTTAAGCCCTGCATTCCTAAGAAGAGAAGGATAGGCACTTGCTGGCATTTTGCCTCCTTTATCTCCAAGGACTTCAAACACTTTATGAAAAGGTCTAGGAGGTGCATTCCCTGACATTGTACCCCAGGACTGCAGGAAGACGACCTGCATGTGTGGCGGACACACCCCCTGTGTATATCTGAACCTGGGGTTTGGACTGATTCACACCTGGCATGCCACCCTTCCAATCAAAGTGGGGAAGGCCAAGGTTTGGGTATTTAGCAGGTGGTGGGCTGCATGGGTGATTTAAGGGGAAAGCCCTGTTTGCCGGGTGGGAGAGTCCTGGCCCAGCCTGTCGGGGGTCCAGAGCACTGAGGGGCTTGCAGCTCTCACCGCAGCTCAGCTGGCTCACTTTTCTTTCCCACACCCCAGGCACATCCTATCTCAACACTGATGCTGATGGCTGTGACCAGAAGAAAAGGAGATGAGCTTTTAAGAACCTTTTTATCCCTTTGCAGATGTGTTTCTAAGTCAGCTTTGCAGAAGGGGTATATCAGTTTAATGTTGCTGTAGAGGAGGTGATCTGCTACAGACAGAAAGGCTGAGAACAGATCTTTGGAATATGACAACTCATTATAGCTTATCAGCTTTTAAATTTTAATTTTTTATTAATCCAGGAAGGCATAAAGGAGAAAGCAAAGAGTGGCTCATCATCTTACCTGTCAGATAATTTTACTGCTATTAAATTAAGAAATACAACATATATCTGTTCAGAGAATTCAAATAGAATCGAAAACCTGTACAGTGAAGAATGCAATCCTCCTTCTACCCTCTTTTCTAAAGATACTTGCTAGTGTTGGTTTTATTTGTGTGATTTTTTTTCAAGAAAAACATGCTCTTAACGTCATTTATGTATTTATCTCTCTGTATGCTATGCCTTATTTGTGCTGAGGTCATACTGCCACATATTCAGAACTTCACTTTGTTGACTTCATAATGTATATTGTGGGTGTTTTTCCATGTCAGGCTATACAGAGTTACTGATTTCTTTTAAACAGCTGTGTAGTATTTCATGATGTGTTAGGGAGAAAGTGTCTATAGATAGGACTTTGGTTGTTTTCAGTTTTTTTTTCTATTACCATATTGACAGGAAGGTTCTTCCCTTTATTTTGGCATGCTTTATAAGTATGTTTGTAAGTTAAATAACTGTACATGCACTTACATTTCTGATGGACATTGTTGAATTACCCTCTAAAGACTGCACCCATTGGTGCTCCTACAAATGGTTAATGAGCATGCACATTTTATTACACTCTTATCTTATCATTACCCACCTTATTTTGTTCCTCTAAAATTGTGAAATTAGTAGTTCATTGTTCTGTTTTAATTACTGGCAAGGCATAACATTTAATGACATTTTCAGTCATTGCACCTTTTTTTAAGTTAAAAAACCTAGTCTAATATCTTTTTCTTTTCTACTTGTTTTTTTTAATTTGGTGAACCATCAGCTATTTTAGGATTCATTTGATGTGCAATGTTTCACTTAAAGATATTACGTGTACGGTTGTGAAACAGTTTGGGGCCAGCTGGTATAAATTAGGCCACTGAAGTTGCCTGTGACTGGAGATGCTAAGATTTTGCATTCCATCCTCCCCAGTGAAGGGCTTTGTTTCAAAAAGAGACAGTTTGGTTTCCTGCAAAATAATGGATTTAAGACTGCTTTAAGACTAATCCCTTTGAAGTTTCCAATGAGCTGGAGAGAAATATTTGTAAAGAGAGTTTTGTAGAAGAATGCAATTTGGACAGGAAAATGGAAGAAGGATTCAGCAGAGAGTGGGGTTATTGTGGTAGAGGATGTGGCAATGGAGGGTAGAATGATAATAGGAGGGACTCCCTATAGTAGGTAGAATTTCAAAAAGTCCAAGGAACTTACTTCTTTGGGACTGAGGTTCTACTGGGGGATATTGTCAGGGCAGTGAGGCCTTCCAGCTCAGTGCCAAACATGCTCTGAGATGAGAACCCATGACAGGTACAGTGTTTACTGGCGAATGGGAACGATGCTCATTTGTTTTCCTAAGGAGCCTTTGTGGACTGTCAAGTAAATGGTGCACATTTGGAAAACAATCTGAAATGCACGTTTGGGGCCAAACTCTTGTTCTGGCTTTACGTGCACTTTGGAGCTGCTGGGGAGGATAGTGGGAAGGGTGCCTTTCTTTTCAGGGAAGCAGAAACAGTGGGTCCTTTATGAGCCTGGCCAGAAGGTGGGGTGCCCTGTGAGAGTGGCCCTAAATCCACTTGGAATTGAGGACAGTTGCTATTGGTGCATAGCTCTTGTTATTTGACACCTATATAACAGATCCACTATTGTGCTGATGAGCTGTGACTGACGGTAATTAATATTCATTTGTAAACTTCCTACCTCCTTGCATCCTGAAGTTCTAGGAGAAAAGAAAAGGTCTTGGTGTTTTCTTTCCTCCCCTACCCCCAGCCTTAACCTTGCTTTTTACTGGGACAGGGGAAAGGAAACTAATAGGTGAGCAGAAGGGAGACATAGAGGCTTCAGAAGGGAGACATAAAGGATCAGAAGTAGGGGGGTGAAATACAGGCACATTGGACAGAGGTGCAACTGGGAGCCAGTGGGCTGCAGAAGGCTCTGCCTCAAGCCAGTGGCTCAGAGTCCAGAATTTCACAAGACACGGACTTGGTTATCTTGAGAGTTAAGGTCACTACCTGCCCTATGAAATAAGCAGAGTTGGGCCTAAAAACAAAGGTTACTGGGAAACAGCATGAGAGAGTGGAAAACAGGGACCCTTAGTAAGATCAGCAGAGAAAGATGTTTCAGGACAGTGCAGAGGGGATGGTTCAGTGCCTCTGAATGAGCATGTGGCTGGAGCTCAGTGTGACGATGGGGAGGCCCCTGCTCAGGCTCATGCAGTTTGCTCCCAGTAGGCACTGCACCCTTTGGCAACCATTCTACAGGAGATTTCGACGATGGGTTTCTGCGCAGAAAACAGCGCCGGAACCGGACGACATTCACTCTTCAGCAGGTAATGATGGCATTCCCCTTTTGAGAGTCAGCTATTTCCTGCCTCCCAAAGATTCTGAGTTTGAGCAGCTTTCCTTTGTCTTCTAAATAAAGCTAACTGATTAGGTTAAATGGGTATTTCTGTTTTTCTACTATTTATGTTTCAAGGAATCTGTGTAGGGAGAGGACAAATGACTTTGACCTTAGGCTCCCAGATAATAAGTGAAGAAGCAGTAGTCATCACTCACACTTGCCTTAGCTGGGAGAACATTTCCACATCAGCAATATCATTTGAATCTTGAAGTAACCCTTTGAAGGATGCAGTAGGACAATCTTATCTCCAATAGATAGATGAGAAAACTGGGACCCAAGAAGTTGACTGATTTGTAAAAGGTATTGTCACCCATAAATAGAAGGGCTACGACAGGGACCCTGATATTTTGTTTCATGGACCCGAGTGCCTTCCCTTACATCTGTGCTACTTCTGGAGCAAACTGGAGCAGTCCGGAAGGCAATGCAAATATCCTAGGTGGTTCTGTGGGACCCACACAATGAGGGCGTCTGCCTCTGTTCTTTGCTCTGTGGTGAAAGCTGTGTGGATTGCTCTAATCATAAGGCCACTCCCAGATTTTGTTCCTATGAATATATTTAAATATAAATGCATATGAATATTTGCACCTCTTTTCTCATTTCTACTTCTTGGAGGAGCACTGAGGTTCTTAGGAAGTCTTAGCTCTCTTAACTCCTAAGTCATCTGTGGTTGAAATTTTAATTCTGTGGGATCTTTTCAAAGAGCTCTTTTCTCCCTCTTCTTCCCCTGCTTGATCTGTGAAACTACTTTGTCACCACTCATAGCAAATTTGAAATATGCATCTGCTTCCTCTCACCTACCCACAGCCTCTCACCAGTAAATATTTTTTCCTTTTACCAGCTGGAAGCTCTGGAGGCAGTTTTTGCCCAAACGCACTATCCCGATGTCTTCACCAGGGAAGAGCTTGCCATGAAAATAAACCTCACAGAAGCCAGAGTGCAGGTAAACCTTCTTTTTAATTATTTAACTCTCTAATATTAAAACTGGCAAACTTTTTTATTTTTTGACATCATGACTGCAGAGTGCACATTTGGCCAAAGAAAGCAAATGAAGACTATCTGTCATTTTCATGATGCACTTTAATAACATCAACATAATGTGGAATATTAGATTAGGTTGATTAATCGGTCATTCATAATTAACTAGTGATAATGTTCTACACTAATTTGTCCGCGTCTCTAAGGTACTAAATTACATCAATGCACATCCATTTCCTTGCTTTGGAAAAAAAAAAAAGCTGAGATGCTATTCTCAAAGCAGCTCTGACCGCTCTGGGGTAAGGCTGGTCAATTGAAGAGAACTATGTTTTCAGATGGGAACAGGGTAGGATATGCTTTCCAGAAATTGCATCATGTCCAACTTTTCCCCGGCACGTGGCCTCTTTCAGCGAAGTGGATCTGAAGAACGTGTGCAATTTAAAAATCTTTAAACGGCAGCAGCAAAAGAGCTGCCTCAGAGATGAGCCTGGTCCGCGGTGACTGTCTCTAGGCAGGATTCTTTTTAGAAGCCACACAGTGATTACGTTTAAGTGCCTAAACCCACGGAGCCCAGCAGATGTGCCCGAGTGCGCAGAACAGCTTCGCAGAGCTGCCTCTCCGGGAGTGCTATTCTTTGAGCACAATTATATATTCATTTTATTTATGGGGTTTCCTCCATGCTGTTTCTGTTCTTTTTTATGTAGGGGCTTGGGGTTAAGACTATGCAAAGATCTAATTGTAGGAAATATAATAGTTTGCTTTCAGTTCCCCTGGGTCATGTTAGTATCTCTTAAAAACCAATGGCTGAAGAGAGATAATGGAATTCTGAGCAGTAAATTGGGGGTTGTAAACAAATTATTTCCCCTATAATCAGATTATGTGATCCTGATTATTAAATCTGAACATGAATCATTGGTCATATGCAGGCAAATTAAACTGATTATTATTTGGAAATGAAAATCTCCTTTGGCCAGGATGCTATCCTTTCTTTTTTTAATGCCAGCTTGCCAATAGCTGCCTAAAGACTGAACTGCAAATTGAGATAAATGACACAATTATTGAGCGTTCAGAAGTGGAAGATCATAACTTCTGCCTGAAAGGTGCAAGGGTGAGATAGGGGTGGTGACAATTAAAGCTGGGAATTGTTGTTCAGGCTGTTGTTTGCTATTATGCAGACAGACAATGGCTGTGAAGCATTTGTTTAGTGAGCTTCCGTGTGGGGATACAAGCTTTGGTGGCAGGAAGGGAGATGTGTTTACATTTATACCCCTTGCTCATTCAAATATGATTAATGTTCTATAAAGCAGGGTCTTAATCGAAGCTGATGTTGTCAAACAATAACTAAATAGGGAAATAAACGACTCCATCATGCTCGTTCCTCAGAAGCACAAGAACTGTCAGTGCAAAGTCATTAAAATATGATAATGAAAAATAGCTCAATTAAATGTTGTTATAGCTGTGACCTTCATTCAATTAAGACGCAAGAAAGTGTCTGCATTTTGCTTTGCATTTAACTGCCCTAAATTTAGAATATAGATAAAATCATTATTCAATGGTTGCTGATATGTGCAATTAAAAACCAACTAGGTGAAAAAAAGAAAGAAATCCAGTTGAATGAGAATGAAAATTCAGAGGTGGGGCAGGCTGGCAGGGGGCTCAACCTCGGCACCCAGAGTCTCTCCTCGGCCTGGTGTGTAGGCAGGAGAGGAAAGGATGCCTGGGGGACTAGGAGGAAAGTCTAGCCAAGGCTTTTTTTTCACAGCCAAGAATTATCTTCCAAGAGAGGAGGGAAGAGGTCTTGCTGGGTAGAGTAAAAAGCGGCAGGCTCTCACTGACCTCTGGGAACACCTTGGGCCTGAGCTGTTTGGCAGCCATGAGGCTGTCCTGCTAATGCATTCTTGGTTTCCAAGGCTTAAGGAATTTCACATCAACTTCTAAGAAGGCCCTTAGAGCAGGTGCATCATAAGCCTCCTCCTAACCTGTGGATGGCAGAGACAGTAACACTGGCTAACATTTACTGAGTGATTGATTGCTGTATGCCAGGCACTGTGCCTAGTGTTTTTTGAGCATCTCTGTGTAATCCTACTAGAAATGCCTTGGGGTGGCCACTGTTATTATCCCCAGACATTTTGGACCATGGTCCATAGCCAAGCCACTGGGCTTCAAATTGTGCATCTGCTACTTACCACCTGAATGACCTTGGGTAAGTTAAATAATGCTCTGCTTGTTTTTCTCATCTGTAAAATGGGGATAGTAGAACTACCTGCCTTAGGACGGCAGTGGATTCTGAATCAGATTCACCAGAAGTCTAAACCAGGGTAGACTCCAGAGTCCATGTTTCTAATGGCTGCACTGGACTGCTGGTCATGAACTTGTCATGTGCCACAGATGATTTCAGGATTAAATCACAATTTGAGGCCAGACACACGCAGGTGCTCAGACCAAACCTGCTGGGAGAGTGGGTGAGTATTTCTGATGAGGAAACTCCAGGGCAGAGTTTTACAAACTTCTTTGATGATGATTTCCCTGCGCCCTCCCCATAGGAAATGAACATACTTTCATACATTGAGAATTTCTACAAGACAACACTTTACTCTTACTGTGGGCAATGCATCTGGAGACTTAACTGTGATTTAACACTTATTTACATATGCCTGTCACGTCTTCTATACTGATCTTCTGGCCTGTCTGTGGGTCTGAAGCTACAGTTCAAAAGAGCACTTTAGTAGATCATTTGGAGAGATGCAAATGATCTCACAAACTTCACCTTGCAAACTCCTGCTGCAAGGTGAGCCATGAGCAGTGGGCACGGGAACCAGGAATCTGGTTTTGGGGTCAGGTTCCCTCCTCCTGTCTGCTTTTCTGCCTTCACTGGGTGTGTGTTTTCACTGGGGACTCAGGTTTGGTTCCAGAACAGAAGGGCCAAGTGGAGGAAAACAGAGAGAGGGGCCTCCGACCAGGAGCCAGGAGCCAAGGAGCCCATGGCAGAGGTGACTCCACCACCTGTGAGAAATATCAACTCCCCACCCCCTGGGGACCAGACACGAAGCAAGAAGGAGGCCCTGGAGGCTCAGCAGAGGTGAGGTGGGCCGGGCCCTGGGGCCTGATGGGCCGGGGGGCCCAGGGTTGGGAACTCAGTGCAATTTTCTTTCTCTGCCAGCCTGGGGCGACCTGTGGGTCCCACAGCACCTTTCTTCCCATCCTGCTTGCCAGGGACCCTTCTGAATACGGCCACATATGCCCAGGCCCTGTCACACGTTGCCTCCCTGAAAGGTGAGTTTCAGTTCCCCTGGCTGGTGGGGCCTGGTGGGGCCATGGTGGCCTATTGCTGCCTCTGAAGGGGATCGTGGCAACTGTCTGACCAGCCTGCTTTTTTGGTTCGTCTTACCCTTGGCCCTTGGGTGGCGCTGGTCCTTTTCTGCTCTCAGTTACATACAGGGTCATGAACAACATCCATTCCCATATATGCTGTCTTGTCTGATTCCTGCACAGCCCGAGACTGTAGGTGAATGTAAGAATCATCTCTCATGACAGGATTGACTGAGAGGTGCTTGTTTCTAAAGGGGCCATGCCGTGGTCACAGAGTGTTCCCTCTCATTGGGAATAGTTTAAGGTGCTAACCAGCAGCTCACAGGGAGGCCTGTGAGGCAATTGCCTCAGCTTATGAGGGCCCTCTCCACATGTGCAGCTTGCCTACTGCCTTCCCTGGGGACTCCTGATGTCAGAGGTCTGAACTGGGAGAATTTGTGGTTTTCCAAGACTTGCTGTCTCCTCAGGGTTGCTGTTGTCTGAAGGATAGGAACAATGGGGAAAGTTTTATCAGGCCCAGGGTGAGATCCCAGTGGGGCTGTCCCTTGGAGATTTGCAGGGCCCCCCATTGAATGGGTCCATCCAATGTCTCTTAATTACTGGCCCCAAACCTACCCCTCCTGCAATGAGGCCTGGCAGCTGTGCTGGCCAGGAGCAGGGATGGGTCCAGAGGGTCTGGGCAGTGGCGTCAGTGATCCCTTGGGGCTATTCTGTCCCAGGGGGCCTGGGTGGTGGAGGTACAGGTGCAGGCTGCAGGCTTTTCCCTGATAATAGGTGGTGGGAGAGGCCCCCACCCACCAGCATGTCCCCTGCTTATTCTGTGTTAGGATCTGGTGTCTCCTGCCCTCAAGGGTCTCCCTCTAGCAGGTGGGTCTCTCTCTCTTACACACACACACACACACACACACACACACACACACACACACAGTGGCAATCTACATTGCTAATGTGGTTTCTGGGGGGTTGAGCCTCCCCAGGGAGTCTCCAGAAGGGAGAAAAGGATACTTTTTCTCTTCTGCATAGGGAATAGCAATGCAGAGTGCCAGGAGTGGGGAGGAGACCCAGGCTTGTCTGGGGAACAGCTGATATGTTGGTGCCCTTGGGAGAGTGCTCAGAGAGAAGGCAGAGGTGTCCGACAGGGGCCAGAGCTTAAAGGCCCTGAATGCCACTCTCCTGGGTTTGGATTTTCCACTGGTGGTGGGGTGGGGCCCTGAGGCCCATAGCCACTTCTGAGTGGTCCAGGCAGCTGGGTAAATCCCCTCCCTTAGAGGCTCAGCTCTGTCCAACTCTGCCCCTCCTAATGCCTCCTTCAACTCCACCGGCCATATGGAGCCTGCCTCCCCACTGCCCCCACCAGAGTAGCTTTGGGACATTCACAGGACACACTAGGACAAGAGGGCATTAAAGAGATGGGGTTTCAATTGAAGGGGCTTCTGAAAGGAGGTTACCAATAGGATTTAGGTATCATTCAAGGAGCTGTCTGAGTGGGGGAGTAATCCTGTGTCTTTCTGTCAAATCCTCTCTGCTCTGGTGAGGGCTAGCTCATCTCCTGGGACTAACCATCTTTACACATCAAATTTATAAATGTCTTTGCTTGCTCCATTCCAGCTTCCTGAATTGGAGGTGATACACATGTCCCTTTGCTGTGGAAGTCTGTGGGGCTCTGACTAGCCAGGCTAGGGCCCAGTGGGAAGCCCACAGTGCTGAAGGAGGGGGCCAGACTGCCAGGCAGGGCAGACAGGGTGACAGCCTCTGTGCTGGGAAGCTGAGGCAGAGGTGAGAGGAGGCAGAGCAGGGCCTGTGTCTTTATCTTCTTGGCTCAGGTTAGAGGCAGGGGCTGGTGGGGGCACTGGCAAATTTGTCACCCCGTCCTCTTCTTCCCTCATTGGTGCTTACTCCCCTCTGGCCCTTCCCTAAGCTTTTCTGGCTGGGCTCTGACTCCTGGGGCCTGCCTCACTGGAAACAGATTTTCCTTGGACACCCCCTTGCAGGGTGGGTGGGAGCTTGGGGTGCAGGAGCCTGTGGAGGTGGCAGGGATCACAGCGTGCTCACCAAAGCAGGGTGCAGCTTTGTGAGCTGGGCGGGCACTTGCTTGGACAGCCTCATATCCCTGTGAGAAGTCCCTCCTGACTACAGGCAGGGGGATGAGGTGTGCTGGGGCAGTGACAGGCTCACATGTTTCCGGAGCCAGGCAGGCGATGCAGGAAGTGTGTGTGCGCTGGCATCGTCTTTGCTTCCCTAGATGTAAATGAGTTCCCCAGTCACTTTGTTGAGACACGCGACCCTCTTGGTCTATCTGTTATTTTCCCACTTTGAGGGGGCACATTACTCTAAGTGGTCAGAAACCACTTTTGAGGAGCATGCTAAGGGGCACTCTCAGATCTGGGCTGGTCAGAGATGGGGATGGGTGGGTGGACAGGGGACCATTTGCTTACTTGAGTCAGATGTTGCTCAAGTTCCCCCACTGTGGCCATGCGGGTATGTGGACACAGCATTGCCAGAACTATTGAAATTTCAGAAGCTGGAAGTCTGGATCTTTATTTTAAATATTCCCAATTTTTAAATGTGGCCTCCTGGTCTTTGGGCCAAACTGGGCATCGTTGGTCAGGCCATAAAATGTGGCTTGGCATTTTGTGAGGGGAGCTTTTCCTCCATGCCCTCCTACCTCTGCTTTCTGTGTTCCTCTCCTTGCAGACATAACTCCTCCTCGGGGGTCCCCAGCCCCCACAAAGTCCCCCTCCTGCATCTAGCTCATCCGGACCCCCTCGCCCACCACAGTCCATTCTCATCTGGCTTCTTGGAGCGGCTGGCTTTGTAGTCTCTGACGAGCTAAATCATGTTGGAAAGGGTGGGAAATGAGCAATCATTGAAAACCTATTCTGTGCTCTGCCAGGCCTTCTCATGTCTTAGCCCCACTTAATTCTCAGCATAGCTCCATTAACATTGTATCAAGAAAGAGCTCCATACTGGCATAGCTAGTGAGTGGAGCTGGGTTGCTCTGACATAACAGCTGGTATTGGCTGGGGTATCTTTGTCTTCTAAAAGTGTCTGACCCCAGGTGGTAGCACTTCTGGGAGCAAAGTATACCAAGCTAGAAGTCTCACTCCAGACAGGCTTGGCTATGTCCCTGAAGGTGTGCTTGGGGAACCCCACCTCTGTCTCAGGCCCTGGGGTAATAAGTCTATACCTGTAAGTTGACTTCTGGATGCCCTGGGGTTCACTTCTTGATTGTTTGTGGAACATTTATTGAGTGGTTTGGGGCCAGGATGGCTTTCAGAGTCTTGCAGTTCACATCTCCTTCTAGGCTTCCCCAAGCTGCAGAAATTAAGTGCATGGCCCAATCTGGACCCAAGAGAGGGGCAACCCCATGTTCAGCACCAGGACCTTTGGGCTGTGACTGGCCTCTCTTACCTCAGTGCACCCCCAGAGATGGCTCAGTGGCCAGATGCTGGCAGGGCTTGTGGCCTGAGCTCTGCTTCCCAGAGGCTTCTGGCCAATGATGAGACTGGCTCAGCTAGCTGGGAGGAGCTTCAGGCATGCTGGTCCTGTAAGTCACCCACCCGGGCTTCTAAGCCCAACCTTCTTTTCTCAAGTGAGAAATTATGCTCACAGAGGGGAAGTCACTTGTTCACATGTCACTATTCAGCTAGGTCCCCCCTTTGAGGTCCAGGTTGCTTTCCATAGGATGCAGATGTGTCATTTCCCCCAGATGCCATCTGTTCATTCATTCCCCTGGATGGGCATCTGGTTCTCCCCAGCAAGTGAGGACAGCTGTAAGTCCACAGGGTGTGAGCCCTGGGGGAGGGGCCTGGGCTCAGCCAGGACTCCCAGAGGCCAAGAGCATTATAAGCTGAGCACTGTAGTCCCTTCAGCCCAGAGATCCCAATCCATTTATCCAGGTTTGTGGAAGCTTGCAAATGACCCAGAAGAAATAAAGTGAATTTCAGCTCCCAGATCAAACCAATGCTTGCGTCTCTCCCTAGGCTTTGGGGTTCTAGCGGGATCAGACAGCCCTGGAATGAAGATAGTAAGTGTTCTGGGTAGGCCCAGACTCCAGACCTGTGTCTCCATACCAGGTCCCAAGGATTTAAGCCAAGGCTGTCCTGTGCTGCACGCAGCACCTGGCTAGAGTGTGAGGGAAATGCAGGGCTCCCACTGCCCCTGGGCAGGGTCAGTTCTCCCAGGAGGCATGTGGAGACCCCCAACCACTGGCTCCAGAGCTATGCATAGTTATAGGTTGAAGAACTGAATTGGGGGTCCTGATCTTTCAGTTGTAGACACTGTTGTGACAGCTGTGACATCCTTACCTGGGGACTATGGAGAGAGCTTCTAGGAGTAATGGTGGGATAGCTGGGGGTGGGGTTGGGAAGTTGTTGAGGTACAGTTTGCTGAGGTCCTCTAAGTGTGGTCCTTGAAATCCTTAGGTCCTTTATCATAATATCATGGGCATTCACTCACCTGGAAACTCTTTGGCTTTGAATGTACTCTGAAAACAGGAGTGCTCTTGGAATACTGGCTATCTTCAGCTCCTTAAGCAGGCATCACTGCAGGGAGGAAAAGGGCAAGCTGGGTGGATTGGGGCTCTGGATGTGGAAGGAATGTGCCCTGTGTGCCCCCCATTCCCCCAACACTGGTCTCTTAGAGTATAGAGCTGTGTGAGTCAGGTGGACAGGTCCCGGAAGCTCTGTGACTGGCCCAGAGCATGCCAGTAGATCTCAGTTTTACTTTTTTATCTTTGGATTATAGGGGAAAGTGGCTCAGACAATGTGAAGGGGAGCAGGTCTCAGCAACTTTGCTGAGCTTTGACTCACAGACTGACAAGTAGGCAGCAGAAAACTCTGAATATGGTTTTCTTAGGAAATTAGAGAGACAAATTTTCATTCCTTGGAGATACCTGTTGAGAGCAGGGCTCTGAGGTTCAGAAGCTGCTGGAGAGGTGGGGAAACCAAGCTTGGGCTGGAAATACCCCTGTCTTTGGACAATCTGTCAATCTGTCACAGCACACACTGGAGCTTGACTTGGTCATCTTGCCTCAGGGGCGAGGACGGAGACCTTCAGACCTTTGTTGTCTGCCACAGCACTGTCATCCTATGTGGGGGATGGCACTCTGCTGCCAGCCAGGTCCCAGGGCTTGCTCAGGGCAGCTGAGATGCAGCTCTGTGGCTGGAGTGCTGGGGGTCCTTATTCAGCAGGCTCAGTGTTGGGGACGTGCTGGGTGGTGTGTGCATGGAGGGAGTGCTTGAGTTAGAACATCTCAGGTTCTCAGAACAGTGTGTGTGGCATATGAGAGGTGCTCAACAAACATGATTATTATTAACTGGATTTCTCCTTTCTCATTTTCAAGTCACTGGGTCCCCTTCACTTTTAAGGGACCCAATGAAAGGTCTGCTTCTCCTAAACTTCTTCCATTTCTCTGAACTTTATTGCACCGGACATTCACCTCTTAGTCCCCATTGTTCTAAATTTGGCAGTAATGGGGATTCCTTCCTATCCCTGGTCAGGGCACCCATTCCCTTCCTGGAGCTTCACCACTGACTGGCAATGTGCTTTGCATAGTTGGATGGTCAGAGTGGACCCCTTCTGGCTGGGCCTGTAGTTAGTGTGTTTCCCTATTGGGTGTTCCATGGAAGCTCTCAACTGAAAAGGCAGCAGGATCCTCCCCCATGCAGGGAGGGTTTGCATAACAATAATGGGTGTCCAGAGAAAAAGCCTTTGCAACACAAAGAATTTTCCTGTGCTGTCTTAATGGCCAGCCTTGTGTTCACAATTCATTAATGAACAGGAGGTTATTAATGGCCGAGGGAGGTGCTTGGGTTTGTTCCGGGGAAGTGCTGGCCACAGGACGATGGAGTGCTGCTGGTGGGGGAGGGAGGGGGGAGGCCCTCTCCCTGGCGCATTAGCCTGGCTGCCTTTAACCTGTGATTCAGAGAGCTGGGTGGGAGGTGGAAGCTAATTACAGCTGCAGGGGAGAGCTTTCATAACTCAGTCCTGCTCATGCCTGGGAGTCACAGCCGCTCTCCTGCACAGGGAGGAGGCATCACAGCTGACTTTCCCAGACTGCAGGGGGCAGTGGGAAGGGGGAGGCAGCCTGCTGGCAAGGCGGACATGGAGGACATCAGTCCCTGGTGTGGGGTCCTGGAGTCAGGCTTGAGGTGAGAAAACAGTGACAGAGCAAGGAGTGGGGGATGAGGTCTGACCCTTTCTTACCCTACCCTCCTGTCCCCTTGTGGGGAGGTGAAGTGGCCCCAGCCATCCCTTGTGAGGCTGGGTCTGGGAGGATCACTCGGCAGACATACATGGCCCCACCTCCCCACTGGACTCCTAGCACTCAGGCATCAGAAACAGTGAGGGCTGGAGGAGATGCTGTGTGTGACGCACGGTGCTGGTGTGCAGTGGTGCTCAGTAGATGCTAGCAATTAGATAGCAGTCCTGGCTCTGCATT